CCCCTTGGAAACATTTGGTGATAAAAAAGACCATGTTATTAGGAAAATAAGTTAAATAAGTTGATTAAAGTGAACACAATGTTCCTCAACCTCAAGTGGAAACCAGCAAACTGTCTAAATATGGCAAAGGAAAGGGGAATCTTTGCAAGATTATTATGAATTATCAAACAATGTGATCCTGTGGGCTATTGGATGCAGCTGGTGAGACAAGCAGGGTGCTTTGCACAGCAGGTTCCTATAAATCAAAACCGTCTGGATAGCTATCCCTGACCCCCTGAACATCTATGTGCTTTAAATAGGACTCATCATATTCATAAGTAACTATTCTTCTTTTAAAATGATAAAGGGCTTAACAATTTTCTTTTACAATATAATACTGTATAAAAATCCTTCCTTGTATTTATACATCATTTAACCTTTGTTAAGGTTAGACAAGATCACCATTGAGTTGAAAACATGACAATTTTCTATAGATGGTGGAACATTTAGATAAAAACACTTTGATAAAGACAAAATATATGTGGATCACATTTGAAGAAAGCTCTCGAAAAGAAAGATTTAAAGTAGACAGTAAACAACACAAACAATTGATGAACTTCGACTGACCATTCAACAGGTTAATTGACTATTTTCAGTGACCAAGTTATTAGTTCTTCCATTGTAAAGCTTTCAAAAGAGGAAACATCATGAGACACTTCATGCTCGGCAGGGGACATACAAAATCAGCAATAACACAGCAAACCTGCTGCCATCCAGTGGTTTAGTCAGTTAACACTGTTAGTGTATATATGAACTGAGATGATTTGGCATTTATGTCACACACAAATGTCAATGTGCCTGTCTCTAAGTGGAACTTGATCTTTTAAGGAGATATCTGCCTCAAAATAAGACATTAAACAACTAGCATTTTAAAAAATATGACTTAGTTACAACAGAGAAAAATCATTAATAAATCAAGATCTTTCAAAACATTCACTCAGGGACGTCTGATAGGTAGAATGCTTTGTTATACCACCACACAATAAAAAGTTTACATTTTGTATCATGTAAGCTAGGGTGATAAGAATATATAGTGTTAAAATCTTAAATCTACTAAATCTTAAATAAAATATGGTTTGTATTTATATCCTTTAGTTTGCTCAGTCAGTGTGCTTGTCTCAATAATACAACACAGTCCGAGTCCATTAAAACGGTAGCACCTGTGCCGGCCCTGGCAGATATAAGAGCTAAGGGAGCCTCTGGCCAGACTGCAGATTATTGCGGTTATCTCTGGAGAAAAGGGCACAGGTTCTACAATAACAGTGCCGGCGTACTCTTTCCTATAAAGAGTCTATTGAGCACAATGCTCAGTGACATTCAGAGCCTGGTGAAAAGCAGCCCTCTTTAAGGTCATCAGCTTGACCGTGCTCTCTCTCTCTCTCCAAGACATCTGCAGTTGGGGGTCTCTCTTTTTTTTAAATAGTTTACGTCAGGAATTAAAAAGGTGATATATGTACGACACGCTACCATTTAAAAGTTCAGTGTCAGTAAGGTCTCTTTGTTTGCTTTGGATGAAGGAAATGAATAATTTTATTCAGCAAGGATGTATTCAATTGTTTGCAATTGAGGATGCAAAAGGGACAGTAAAGGAATTGTTTCTGTAATGTCTGTAATGTTTTTCAAAGAATATTTTATGAAAAAATGTATCGCAGTTACAGTAGTTCCAAAAAAAATAATAAACAGCAATAATAAATAATAATTAGAAATGTTTCTTAGCAGCAAATCATAGCAGCATATTAGAATGATTTCTGAGAGATCACGTGACATACAAAACAGTTATTTTAAACTGTAAAAATATTTCTCACTATTGCTATTTTTATTGTTTTTATCAAATAAAGTGAGCCTAAGGGACATCTTTCAAAAACATTTTGAACTTTTGAAGAGTTTAACAGCAGTCTATTGTAAATTGTTCAAAAATGAGAACAATGAGTGAAATCACCTTTCTATTTCTAGAGATGGATAAACAACGAGGCATTGGGAGAGAAGGGATTGTAACTTTGAGATCTGGTGACATAACATGAGTCACTCCACCGACAGCTAAACTGGTTTGAGAAGACAACTATAGTGAACAGTGTAAGTGCGTCCAGTCATCAATCATGAACACATGACAACTGCCTGGACATGATGCCTTTCTGCAAAACTAAACTGTCTTTAAAACATTCTATAACTGTTATAATCACGAGAGATGACAGAGATGTAAAGTTTCAATAGATGGCACAGACAAGTAAAAGTTTATATTGATTTTAGGGTTTCTTTTTTAATTAAATTGGAATTGACCCTAATTCTGTCGTCATTTACTCACCCTCATGCCAATGAAAACCTGTGTGACTTTCTTCGTGGAACACAAAAGATGATATTTAGAATTATTTTATTGGTTGTTATTTCTGAGCCATTACAATGAATGGGACTGGAAATCACCATAAAAGAGGTGCATATGACTTGTGCACTTTATTTCAAGGCTTTTGAAATTTTATGATAGCTTTGTGAGTAACTGACTAAAAATTAGTTAGAATTATTCACTGAAAGACATCTGCCCTTGCTCTCCTTGGCACAGAGCGTTCTTGATTCATTAAAATACGATTGAGTCAGATTGATTGTTCTTTAAAAAAAAATATGTTGTCAATTGGCTCACAAATTCATGATTTATTCATGATTGAGATGTTACATCTCTCATAAATTGGCAAGGACAGCTAGGGCCCTTTTAAGTGAAAAGTGATCACTTTTTTGATGCAGTATTTTTTTCACGGTGCATGAAAGCTCCAATTTGATGGAAAAAAAGATACATTCTTCAAACTATCATCTTGTGTTTAACAGAAAAAAGAAAGTCATAGTGGTTCAGAACGACATGAGGGAGAGTAAATATCAAATGATGACAGAATTTACATGCTGGTGAATGATCTCTATAATTCTTGAAATTCAAAGAGCTTCAACCAAAGTATATGTAAATCTAGCCAAAAAAGTGAAAGTTGCATCTAAAGTGCCAGGTCTAACATAGTCTTTCTGACTAGGTGTAATAATCTGAACAGTATTTTTAATGCTTAACATCTGCTCCTGAGCTACACGGCTTTTCCATGAAGTCAATGCTCTAGAAGCTGCTGTCAGGGGAAGAGTGGTGGGCCATACAGCCATTTTCCACTGGGGTTTTCCTCTTGACCCAGGGCCAAGTGTGAAATAGGTAGATTCCCAACTGTGCTGAACTTGTGTTCTTCATCTCCCCTGTATCTGTTGGGCTGTGTTATGTCCTATGCTTCAGGTATTGTAGCAGTGACACACTCACCCACCTGCGTACCAATCACTGCTACACAAGTTACATTAGTTGTGTTTATAAATTAAATGGCTGTTGGCCATATCACCCTGTAGCTCAAGGCTAAGCAGGGCTGAGCCTGGTTAGTACCTGGATGGGAGACCACCTGAGAAAACCTGGTTACTGCTAAAAGAGGTGTTAGTGAGGCCAGCAGGGGACACTACACTGTCAAAGAGCACCGTCCTTCGGATGAGACGTTAAACCGAGGCCCTGACTCTCTGTGGTCATTACAAATCCTAAGATGTCTTTCGAAAAAGAGTAGGGGTGTAACCCTGGCATCCTGACCAAATTTGCCCCTTGGCCTCTGTCCATCATGGCCTCCTAATCATCCACCTAGACTGCTTGGCTTCATCACTGTCTCATTTCCACCAGTAAGCTGGTGTGTGATGGGCATTCTGGCGCAATATGGCTGCCGTCACATCTACAGGTGCTGCACATCTGCTGCACATTGGTGGTGGTTGAGGAGATCCTCCCTTCCATGTGCGCTTTGAGTACCCAGAAAAGCACTATATAAATGTAACTAATTATTATTATTAAATACCTTGGCAACCAAAACTGACTACAGCTCGGTCTAAGATATGCATTTTGCCTCAAGACAGGTTTATTTGGTGCTTGGTCTTAATCAAGGAAGTGAAGTCATAGGCTTTGAGACTGAGAAAAAACTAAAGTCTTAAAGTTCATTCAAACATTTCCTGACATTCAAATTTTAACCATCAAAAACAATATAGCAACTGCAAAAGCAACCATAAACCAGAGAACCGAGCGTGTTCGGGCCCAAAACTTAGATGAGTGCCTCGGCATTGGCAACGTGTCAGGTCGAGTCTCAGGTAACTTAAAATAAATGTGTTTCTACCAAGTGAACCAGAGTAGACCCAAATTCTTTTAATATATCATGCCAACTTCCATTATTCGTTTGGGCACTAAACAATAGTTTTTTTTTTTTATTTAAAACAAATACACATCATTAATTGCATGACAATGTTACGCCCCTTCATCTCTGTCAATCCGTGCTTCTTTTTGTAAATGATCAAACCCTACAGCATACTGGTGCTTGCTATAGTGGCACACGCTTCACATAAACTGCGAAGTGGTAGTCCCAGATCAGACTGGGTTAAAACAAAGTTGCTGTCAGGTCAGACTCAGGTCTAATTTTTTCAGGTGTGTCTCTGGTCAACTTCTTATTTATTTTTAGTTTATTATACAGACATCAGGTTCAGTTAAGAAGTGATTCAGGCCAAATTGAGTCAGGTGCAGATTTTAGGACCCGAGAAAACCTCTACTCTCGATGTAATGGAATTGTATCACGTTCACGTATAATATAATATAATATATAATATAATATAATATAATATAATATAATATAATATAATATAATATAATATAACATTTTGAAGGTGGAATATGTGTTATTTCATAAATAAGTGAAAATATTTACACTTTGAATATAATAAATTCTATATTTTAAAATACATATTTTCATATTAAATATTGAAACATAACTTTAAATATAATTTAATATAATATATAATATTAATAATAAAATAATATAATTTAATAATGAATAATAACATAATATATATTAATAGATTAATTAATGTTTAAAATATGTTATATTTAGCCATTTGTTTTTGCCAAGTGGAAACTTAATGCATCCTACCTGGAATGACAAGGATGAGCATTTTAGGAGGCTTTGGCCCTTTGCTGACAGCATGCAGGTCTGTTGGTCCATACTTGAGCAGCTCAGTGATTACACCTCTACAGTAGACATACTCCACAGAGGGATCCTCTCCGGGCTCCTCGGATCCGGGACTTCGCATCACATCAACCGGACCAGCTCCACACAGTTCTGGGCCTAAGTTTAGAAACCAATGAACAATTATATAGACTATATACATCTTACTCAGATCATCCAACTACAACTTGATGATTGAATGCAGTGCACACTGCACAGTAAAAGAAACTAAACAAAATAACAAAAAAAGTATAATTAATGTTAAATCAGCGTTTGGTGATTATGAATTGTTGATTGTCTGGGACAGTGTTCCCCCATAATTTATGATCACAAGCTGTGGAACACTGCCCCAGACATTCAACAATCACTTGACTCAAATAACGATTTTATCACGTCATGTGGCCTTTAACACTTGTCCATCATTTTAATAAATGCTGACTTGCTTGAGTATACTTCAGCACAAGTGACATGTCACTGACAGCAGGTATGCAGCGGTTCTGCTCTCTGATGACATTCAACCTCTGACATCTAATGACTGAATGACAGCTTGCAACACACTGAACATTGGAGTCTAGAGTCTGTTATCTAGTTTAGTCCTCTGATCAGAACATTCAGTTCAGGTTCAATATATGCATAGAGAAACAGCAGGATAGGAAAGAATAAAATAGAATAGCCTACGGGTAATTTACATCCAGGCATCACTTACAGCTTTCGATTATATTAACACAAAGCTTGTCAATTTAGAACTCCTTAAATTAACTATAAATTAATTGTCTAGTATAAATTACTCACAAATAAATCTGCAGCTTATAATGCTCATTCATTAGATTTACCAATGACTTGTCTTACACGCAATTACAAAGCTTGTCCTATATGAATGACACATTGCATTTCTTACCAAAAGATGATATTCTTTTTAGTGTTTGAGAGCGGAGAAAGTTTGTAATTAGAGATGCAATGACATTTACCGGTAATCTTCCCAAAGCAAAGACCATTCAACCAAAGGAGCGAGTCGCTCTACTGTTTCTTCTTGATGTTTTGAAGTCGCGAACCAACATGAGCTTATCGCCACCTAATGTACTGTATGTACGGATCAATCTACACTACATTTATTTATTAGCTGGCGAGAAGAGGATTGATTTAACCTTCAAAGCAAAGATAGAGGGGTTGAGAATTTTCTTTATTTTTCTTTAATTTTGGCCACCGTAGTCCTTTTTACACCAAATACTTCATTCATTCATTCATTCGCCATTTCAGTCATATCCTACTCTTGGTGAGTCTATGGGCCATCTCTTGCCATACGTGAGAGACTGACTGACCATGAATTTTCTTGGCCATGATATTTTTTTCTGGGATAGGTCGCCAGTTCTTTCCCCAACCCTCCCCATTACATGAATTGGGATTCAAACGCATTCACACATAGGCTAGGCTACAGACAATTTAGCATCACCTATACATAGCTACTGAATGTTTTGTATTAGCCTATGGGTGAAAGGAAGCACCCAGAGGAAACCCATGCAGACCCAGGGAGATAATGCAAACTCTACACAGAAAGGCCAACGGCTTAGCTGGGACTCGAACTTGTAAGGCAACACTGCAAGCCACATCACAGTTAATTCATGTAAAACTTTCTGTGGTGGTGGTGTTTGGTGGCTGTGTGCATGTTAGACATGCTGCTGCTGTTGCTGCACATATAAAATATTGGTAGCCTACATGAAGTATCATGAAGTACTATACAGGTGGCGCTGGGGAAGGTAGAGGTTTTCTGAAAGCACGCAGCAGACTACTAACACCAAACACTGCCAGAATTTGAATGTTGAGCTACAGCTCTTATGCAACAGCAACCAATCAGCTGCTCCATGTAGATAACGATGTGATCACTACCAAATGAGTTAAGGACCTATATCAGCCTGTCCCATCTAGATTTTCTTGACAGAACTTGGTAATTAAAGATATGGGTAAAATAGTGATAGAGTTTTCTCTGAGCAGGTTAAATGTTCCGCACCTTAACGTCTTAACCATTTCACCCAATTATTAAATAAAATGATATATTTATACATTAATATTCATATATTTATACATTATACATTATATTTAACATTAACTTGTGTGATATTGCATTGATTGTTGTTGATTTTTGATTTTTATCAAATTTTGATATCAGGTCCACATAGCACATTCCAACAGTTTGCATCATCGGCATACTCTGGAAAGTCCCCTTTGCCTTCATTTCGTCATCTCTCTCTCTCTGAGATAGTTTTTGTTCTAGAATTTTTATGCTGGGGACTAAAGAAAACAAAAGATAAGGCACAGAGAAAGATGCTTGATGGGAGACAGTATTCAGGGCTGGACAACTAAGAATGTTACAACTGAAATGCCCGCTACATTTTTATCCTGGATTTAATATGTCCTCGGCCCTGTGAATTCAAGCAATGGTGACAAAATCCCACTGTCATGACTTTATATGTCAAAAAAACTGACTTTGACCTCTCAGAGCTATCATGTTCAGTGTTCTAGATCACCCCCAGGTGAGGTCTCAAGCGGGGGTCATAATGGCCACACAGCAGTGCTCTACAAAAACTTTTAGCCTATACCTTTGGATATTAAATAGAATCTTTATCTTGTCACATGCTGTGATCTTTCATAAAGACGAATGCATATAATTAACTCACTGCCCTCTGTTGTATAGCTTAGGCCTACGTATAAATTGTCTCAGTGGCAACTGTTTTAAATATCAGTTTTACCCGTCATGAGTTTCACAGTGATATCTGGATATAATCCACTCTCGTACAGAAATATGTTGAATCTGATTTTCTGCCACGGTTGTAACGGCCAGTAAAATGTCAGCACTAAATCCAAGTAAAGCACAAAAGGCTCCAATACTGGCTCAGGCAGTAATCTCAGTATTCTTTCAACACACTATCACAAAATCACGAGTCAATCACTGAAAGAAAATGAACTGATTAGAACTGGTAAAAAACAATGTAGTAAGAGCCAAAACGGGAAAAAAGTTCCCCACACATTTTATTAGATCAAGATTAGTTTTAGGAAAGAGCATGCAATCTGACATTATAGGCTATGGTACCTGTGTTTTCTCATGTTGGACAGACACTGTGACATGGGCTTAGATGCAGATTTCTTATACAGAATCAGGTGTCCTATGAGTTTTAGCCTGAAAGTAAATCCACATGCAATCAGCAGCCAGATCCATGTTTGATTTATCTGGTCCAATACCAGTAAGTAATACATTGTCGCCTAGCAACATAATTTAAAAAGTATTCAGAGAATATCTGCAAAGTCATACTCTTTAATAAACTGTTACTTTGTCAAAAAGATACATTTTGGGATGACTAAAGTCAGTTTTAAATAATAAAAAATGTTTAGTCATAATAAATGTTTGCAGAGAAAATATAGTGTATAGTATAAAAAAGGTTGCCAGTTTAGATTTTTTATACTTGCTTGATGTGATGTACAGTAGGACAGTGAAACATCTGCAATTTTTTTATTTAAAAAAATAAATAAAACAAAGTTATTTAATTTACTAACAAGTAAGCCAAAGCCAAAAACAAATGTAATCAATATATATATATATATATATATATATTATATATGCATTTCAATAGATATGCAGATTTTGTGGAAATACTATAAAATAATTATATAGAAATAAGTTAAAGGGATATTCCACTTTTTTTGGAAATAGGCTCAATTTACAACTCCCCCAGTTTCTGGTCCCATTGACTTCCACTATGTTTGGTTACTGATATTCTTCTAAATATCAGAAAATCGGCTGAATGGATTCAAAAATGGTAATACTCAACTGTTTACTCAACTCTGAGGGAGTTGTAAAATGAGCCTATTTCCCAAAAAAGTGGAGTATCCCTTTAAGTTTGTCAGACCCCATTCTTAAACGTGCTTATGGCCTTGGTCTAAAGAGCATTGCTCAGATACATGCAGTGAGTATGCCAATAATTCCATGCTCGTGACCTGACATTCTCACATCTCAATCTAATCAATGAAAAATAATATTTTACTGGAAACACATGTAACGTCTAACCACACACACATGCACACTCAAACACATTTTCACAGAGCTGTCTGAGGACAATAGGGAATATTTAGTGCACCTGTGAAAACACTGTATCAAAATATTGGTAGAGATCTGTTGTTTAAATATGAAAAAAGAGAGAATATAATGTTAAGTATTTCCTGAATATATCTTGATGCATGACAATGAGAATATCATTTATTCATTAAATATCTACATAGCTGTTTTTCTTATTTTCCCTCTCATTTTAACAAAAAAAATATTTCATGAAAAGCTTCATAAGTCTTTTTTTTTTTTTTTACTGAAGCTCAGATGTGAATGCAAGAAATTTGGTTTTGATAATTCTTAAACAAAACCTTGCTTTTAATATGGAGACACACACAGAGAAATGTCAGAAATGAATTAAGAATATCCTATTGCCAAAGACAAGTTTTAAATAAATAAGGACCTTAGTTTTTAGGTAAAGAAACAAAAAATGGTATCGAAATCATTTCACCATGGATCACCGGAATTAGACCATCAGTGGCCGGAAAACTTGCTTTTGCGACGCAGCATCGACACCAACACCACTAGTTGTCAGTGTATGATTATAATCCAGTGTGACAAACGAGTTACTACACTTTTACTATGCATTAATCTAAACTTCTGTTTGCATGTTATCAGTTGCTAACTGAGATTTGTTTCAAAGCAGCTTTTACATGTTTGACACAAAAGGAAATGTTTCAAAATTCCAAGTGCCACACAGGAATGATTCACTTTGCTGTCTGCCATATCTGTAATATGTTGCTCAGTCAGTGGCCAGCTGTTGTTTTATGCTCCAGCTTGGTTGTAAATCATCACAAGATTTAGAGAGACACTTTGAAATCTGCTGCAGTGATTTACATGTATGACAGACCCAACAGGTTGAGGTACATTATCTGAGCTCTCAAATGGGGGATACTGCTGTCCATTAGAGGCACTACACAACCCACACACACACATAACCTGTAGCCAAAAGGGTTAGAAACAGATGCATCCACAATCTTCAAGTGCCCCGTGCGGTTAAAGTCCATATTAGTGTCTTGCTCCCTGTGGGGCCTTTTTGTGCTTGAGTATGTGTGTGTGTATCAGTGAGAACGATGTGATTTACACATGCAGGGGTCAGAGGAGAAAATGCCTGCGTTCGGTATTGCACCTGGCCCGTCATATCTGGTCACATCAGTTTCTTCTTTCTCCCTTTGCTACTGAGACATTTATTAAACAAGTTCGTCATCAGTACAACCTCTAAATCCTGTCTGAGTACATCTGAGCACAAAATATTCCACATCTAAACACCTGTACCTCTATTCAGTGAATAATACAGAATTTATTGTTAAAGGAGTTCACTTTTAATAAAAAAACTTTTGCTGATCATTTACTCACCCCCATGTCATCCAAGATGTCCACGTCTTTCTTTCTTCAGTCGAAAAGAAATTAAGGTTTTTGATGAAAACATTCCAGGATTTTCTCCATGGACTTCATTGGGAACCAAACTGTTCAAGGTCCAAATGAGAGTTTCGGTGCAGCTTCGAAGGGCTTTAAACGACGCCAGACGATGAATAAGGGTCTTATCTAGCGAAACGATAAGTAAATCGAAAAGATAAGTATTTCGAAAGTAAATAAAAAAGTTTAAGTTTTATAAGCACAAATGCTCGCCTTGCTCTGTTCTGTGATGAGCGTTCGTGACTCTCCTGTTCAAACTCGTTCATCAAAATGAACAAATCTTTTTTCGAGTCATGACTCAAAGGGTCCTGGATAAGACCCTTATTCATCGTCTGGTTGTCGTTTAAAGCCCTTTGAAGCTGCAATGAAACTCTCATTTGGACCTTGAACCGTTTGGTTCCCAATGAAGTCCATTATATGGAGAAAATCCTGGAAATTTCTTGAAAATTTCTTTTCAAATGAAGAAAGAACACTGTAAAAATGAATATGCTTTATCTAATCAAAAAAATTGTGGCAACAG